GGAATTACGCTAACGGGTCCGATGGCCAGCCCCACAGAGTTATAGTCAAGTCAAGAATATGAGAGTTCAGTTGATTTTGGGGGCGATGGTTTCTGGACAGCGTCCACCCCATGCATCGTAGTAGCAATGGCTGTCAACTGGTATATAGGCTCCAGAGTTGGAATTATACTAAGGTTACAGACAGGTGGCCAAACACCTTGTATTCCCGAGAACATAACTACAGTTAAATTCCCAAGTGCTTCAAGATCGAGCGGGGCAAGGGCCCGGGTCCCCCAAGCTCGCACGGTGCCAACGCCAACCTCAATGATGTATTGAGCTGTGAAGGGATCACCACCCTGCTCAGGCCTCGCAGAAGGGGCCCGCTCTGAGCAAAGCAGCGCGCTGGCTGCGGTCGTGTCACGATCGCGCGCGGCGCATGGGGGCGAAGAAGGTTTTGCCGCTTGCCAAACAAACCTGCGGCCTTTCAGGTCGCCGAAGGTCGGCCATTCAATTGCTTTGTGCCTTCGAGCTTGAGAAAGCAAACAGGCAAAGGCAGGCAGACATACACTCTTGAAGTAATAGCCAACAGGCAGGAGGCAGGCGTACATATCCCAGATGTCCATGGTTCCCAACCAAAGCCAGGCAAACCGTGAGCTGCCCCGAGGCCATGTCGAAGGGCGGAAATGACTCCCAACTGTTACTGTTGTGTCGCCCGACTGGTCCACTGGTCCATCCTTCTGACCGAGAAGCAGCAAGGATACCTTGCAGCGCCGCCGCAGAGTCCAAACGCTGCAGAGCTTCGGCCTACTTAGTGCAATCCTTTAGTTGATTTCTTCTTTGGTTGGAAGTGGAAAGCTGGAGTTCAATCTTGAGCGAGATCTAAGGAAACATGGGGTCACTGCGAAATTTGACAGCAGGTGTGTGGTGTTTAATTTGGTAGATAATTTTGCAAGAACGCTCCTTGCCTCGTCCCGGGCCGCTGCCGTGCTTCAAGCGCAACAAAGGCATATCGTGGGTCCCGCGGCTAAGCCGTTGGCTAATCCATAGAGAGCGCGCAGCGGCCATGGGCTTCCCTGTTTTCCCAAATTTGGCCCGCGAAGCAGGTTGTGCTTTGTCTTGCCTTGATATTACATCGTCACAGGTGGGCAATTCGTTTCATGTTGCTAACTGCGGCATGGTAGTGGTTTCCACCTTGCTTTGCTTACAGCACGCTTTGCCTCCAGACTCATGTGTTTGAAAAGAGGTTCGTGGGTTCATTGAGTCAAGAAGCACATGGTTTTCCGTAGGTCCTTCCATTCTATTTTCTGATAACATCTTTATCTCGAGCCTCAAGCCGTCAGAATGACTTCCCATGTGTTGTCCAGGTCGTCCAGTGTTGCAAACCAGTTTGAAGGTTCACCACCAGCCAGGTTTCAATGTTAAAGTAAGTCAGGAATTTCTTGACGCTACCGGGCTCTTCGCCCCGAACACGGACGGATCGTCAGGCTTTTATCTGGCGGATGACAGCGCCTCCCAGGACCCTCCAAACCCTCCAGCTGCATCATTTCAGTTGCCTTCGGAGGAAGATGGTCTTTTCCTGGACACGGAGGACGTTCAATCCATGTGCACGCGGAGTGATGCGTCGGAGCACTACTTTGATTTGGAAGACTTGGAGGTCTGGCCTCTCAACGCAGTTGTGTGAGAAACAATGGAAACCTGGGCTTGACGTGGGTGACGCTGTTGGCCGCCTTGGCCTTGGCGTTGGACTTGGAAATATCAGTGGGCAAAGTCAGATGGTCCTCGCTAATCTTTACTTTAGCCTGCGTGGGTTACCAGTGGGCTTGGTGAAGCAGCTTTGCGAGGCAAAACCATGGGCTGCTGAGGCGGCTGCCCGTTTGAGCAGGGTTGCTGCGAATACTATCAGGGCAGTGGTTGCCAAGTTGCGTGCCCGAAGCTGGGCTGTTGTTGAATGTAGCACCAGCCAACAACGAAACCCAACCCGGATCATGAACCACTTGGTTGAAGAAGTCATCTCTCATGCCTATTAGGGTGGCAGCGACTTAGAACTCTTGTGAAGGCTGCAGAGGCTAGAAGCCCATGGCGCTGACCTTGGTGATAAGTATCACTCCACCGAGCGTTTCCAGTTGATTCAGTATTTGGCAGGACAAGCGAAGCAGCTCATGGACAGTGAAGACTTGCTGGCGGATTTGGGTGGCCTTGGTATACCATCCAGGTTCTCCGTGATCTTTGATTGTGTCAGTTTGGGGTCAACATCCTTTTCGAGGCACGAGACGCTCTTAGTCACTGGGCTTTCCCATGTTTCGCATCATTCCGGCCATTTGCAGTCGATTTTGATCGGTGCGCCAAGTGCCGGGCTTTCCCACAGTGGGCAGGCTCAGGCTGACAAAGTTGTTGGGGCTCTGGCCAGCCACCCTGCTCGGCTCTGCGCTGATTTGTGCAGTCGGCGCCTTATGGCCATAGGGGGTGACGCCCAAGGCGGACCGGAATCCCGCCATTCGTCCACGCGGGCGGGTAGCATGGTTTGGCAAACTTTTCGGGCAGGAGAGCCGAATGATTGATATGGGGCATGTTGACATGTTTCACAGGGAGGACATTTTCCGAACGAGGGCCTTCAGGTCCGTTCCACTCTGCGTTGAACTCTTTGACGTTTCAGCTGCCCATGGCGCAGCTGTATGGGACGGGTCAGGGTCGCATCGTTTTCCGCTCTACTGCTGCCTACATCGATTGCAAGGCATTGGCGGTCCCTGCGCTGAGTGGGACCCGCCCAACCGTGTCCGAGCCTGGCGCCCCAGGTCGATTGTACGCCAATTTTCGAGCCTATGCGGCGTCCATGCACTAGGATGGATGCGAGAGATGGATTTGGAAGCCGCCCTCTACTGTTGCAGCTGTTGCCAAGAGGCTTCGTTGGAAGGGAGGGCGCAGAAAGCAAGTCAAAGTCCGGGGTGTGTGGCACGGCCTACCGGCAACTTTGAAGATGCAGGCGCTCGCCCAGCTGATGTGATTGATGTTCCTCCCAGATATGGCTCTCGCGTTTTGCGCCCCGGACCTCCTGGCATGCGTGGGGTGAATTTGTACAAACAGACGCCTGGGGGTCCACCAAGATGCGTCGTCGGAGTTGGCGACCCCCATATCTTCTCCTGTGTTGACGCTGCTCTACGCGCAATTGCATCTTTGTTGGCAGCCCTTCTCAGAGAGTACGAAGATTACTTTGGACCTGTCGGCATTTCAACAGAAACTGCAGATTTGAGGGCTGCCATGCTCAAGGCATTCGATTGGAAAGAGCTTCTTGAAGTTCGCCAGCCTCGCCCAGACACGTGCAAGCTTTCCACGCCGTTCTTCGGAGATTTGATTTGAGAGGGTGCTTTCAAGGACTGAGTGGGCCGGACCCATACATGTTCCTATATGTCCAGCGTAAGTGGGACAGGTCTGGATATCACGAGCTCAATACGTGATCTTGGTCCGCAACGTTGTAGACTTCAGCCAGACCACTCCCTTCCGAACGAGATGGTGGGAAGTATCAGAGTACATGGTCGCGCCTGTGCGATTGCGCGGTTGTTTCCTTGCTGGCTTTGGACCACACCTGCGCAGTTTGGGGTGGGCAAGGCTGACAGTGCTGTGTGTAAGCCATTTGGTGGAAAGTTTTAGTTTGGTGGAGCAGGCCAAACCTTGGGCCGTCAGACCCGAGTGCTTGCGCTCTGTCGGTCGCAGCGAAGTGGGTGGAGCATGACCGCGGCTCATTATCGTGGATCTACGCCTCAAGACTTGATGTCAGCTCTGTCTCAGCCAGCATCGACACGGTGCCCGAAATCCACGCCCCATGTTCTGGAGTCCTGGAGGGCCTTCAGAGCGCTATGCCTGGCACGCTGCCTTGGTTCACCACATGTGCAGAGCGCATGCCTGCGCCGAGTTTCCTAGCTGCAACGTTTTTCTCTCGTCCTGTGAAACATCGTTCTCATGCAGGTCATTTTACATTCTGCTGGGTCGTCAGGTTGCACAGCGCCTTTTTTCAAGGGCGCTTTGGTGTATTTTCGCTTCAAAGTAGTTTTAGCATGGGGGCTTGTGCGTCGAAATGCGGTGAGTTCCATCCAAGCCCTCTGTTGCCAATCGCGCATTTCATTGATGCGTGTGTGTGTGTGTGTGTGTGTGTTTTAGCTACTGGCTTTGAATGGCTTGCGGTTGACAAGTTTCTGAGGAGCTATTGCGAGCGCACTGGGTCGCAGCTCCACGATATATTCAATAGCGATGGGGCAATGATGCCTTCGAGAGAGCCTCGTCTCAGCCGTTTTGACTTCCCTGTGGCTATCAGTTTGCTTGTTTTTCAACCTTGCCCCTTTGAGCGCTGTCAAATATTGCCTTATCCACAAGGCAAAAGGACCACGAGAGAGTGACGATGTATGAGGGCACGAGAGCCAGGCCCCCAACAACGACCACGCACGCCGCAGCCCCTTCTGCAGTCTCTGGACACTGCGCTGGCCACTGCGGAGAGAGCCGGGCCCCCAGCGGCGACCACGCGCGCCGCAGCCCCTTCTGCAGTCTCTGGACACTGCGCCGGCCACTGCGGAGAGAGCCCAGTTCTGACAAATTCTCTGCGAAGGGAGGGGTGCCCTTTTCATAGCCCCTGCAGAACCTATCCAGAATGCAAAAAGGGCACTTCTATTTGATTGATGGGCAAACCAATGGGATCACCTTGCGATGTCCCAGCCAGATGGCGACGGTATTAGGGCCCAAAGCTTTCATGTGAGTTCATCAGAATCTCTACGAAGAGACAGAGGGGTGCCTTTTTCGTAGTCCCTGCAGACCTTGTCCAGAATGCAAAAAGGGCACTTAGCTCGACTTCCATTTCCTATAGACAGGCAAAACAGTGTGAGATCACCCTGCGATGTTTGAGCAAAATGGTGAGATAGCGATGATATATGAGCACCAATTTCATGTGAATATGTCTAGTTCGAGTTGATTTCATCAGAACATCTCTGCACCCCACAATGCAAAAAGCCATCACTTCCAACTTCTATCCTTGAGGTATGCGGCCTCTGATTTCTCGCCGTCAAGTTCGCCGCCGCCTGAACTCTGGAGCCCCTGCAAGTTCTTCTTACCGGCTCTCCTCCGGCAAGCAAGCCTCTGTGGTTGCACTTGTAAAAAAGCCTCAGATCCTCCTATATATGCCCACAGGTCAGGTAGGCTGCTCTCCGAACTGCCTGGTCCTTGAGGCGAAGCGTTCATCGCTGCGATCCTTCCACGTCACTGGGATCTCCATATCGTTGGAAAAACAACCCCAGTCCCAGCCCAGCCAGCCAAGGAGCCATCACTGAGCGAGGATACTTGGCACCGCGCTTCACTTTTTGTTGATCGGAAGGCCCGAAGAGGGCAGACTTGTAGTGCGCTAGCTGCCAAGCTGGCAGATTGGCTCCAATCGCCTGAGGCGAAGGAGTGGAGGGAGGCCAGAGAAAAAAACTCTGGGCGTCTGAGTGAAAAAACTTGCGTGGTCCACGGAGATTTGCTTGTCACATCATTTTTGGTTGGGGAAATGTTTTCCTAAGCTTTCTTTGCGGCGCTTGTTTTACAGGGTGGCCTTCGCACAGATTGAACGTTGCGGTCTAATATATACGTGGAGGCCAACTGGCCCAACTGGTAGGTTGCCCTCCTGATCGATATCATGCGCAAAGCTTTGACCAGGTCTGGCATTCTCTCCACTTCAACATCTTCAGGTAGCAAGATGTAGCAAGGCACCGCTCCATGGGCTTCCTAACTTCCCCTTCTCGAACCCACAGAGTCTGCGATGATACAGGCGCATATACGAATGCTGCAAGCCTCCACAGCTGCCGAGGTGTTGCGCTGGCCGGCTGCTGCGCTGCTGCGCTGGCCGACGCTGGGCTGGCGCCACGCTGTGCTGCTGGCCGACAGTAAAAAAGAGCGCGAAGGGCGAAGTGCCTACCCTAAGTCACCCAAATTAGTAGTTTTACTAACCATAAAATTTACGTAAATTTTTGGTTTTACTAAGGAAAATTTACGTAAAAATTTACGTAAATTTAATAGTAAATCCAATTTAGGTTATGAGTAAATCCAATTTAGGTTATTAGCAAATCCAATTTAGGTTATTAGTAAATTTCTTAGGTTATGAGTAAATTTTTGCGAGCATGATTTTGAAGCAGAAAATGTCTCTATTTATGTGAGTTGGCTTTCTCCAAAGAGGCAGGTTTTCTACAGGACAACATGTACTTGAGGATATTTGCGCTATGGATTTTTGTTTTTGTTGACTGAGCATGCCAGGAGGTGTGGACTTTGCCTTTACTTGAAGGGATTGCATTTACTTGAGCATGTGTACCCTTCTTGACTTGAACAAAACATTTTTTACTTGAGGGTGTCTACTTGAGGGAGTAAATTTACTTGAGGATATGTACTTTTCTTCACTTTAGGAAGAAGAGCATTCTCTGATTCTCTGATGGTTTTTGCCAGTGTGAGGGTGCATGTTTTATGTGAGAGATCTTTTGGCTCTGTGAGAAGAAGAAAAAGAAGAAGAACAAGAGACACCTCAGCAAGAAGGAAACAAGCAGTGAAAGCGCAAAGCTGACAAGATTCTTGGACTGAACTTTAAACAAGTTTGCTTGTTGAAAATTAATTGTTCAAGTTTGTATTAACTGCAGCAAATGAACAAGAGTTATGTCAATGTTGGCTTGAAACCATTGTCAGGAGGCGTGACCGCATCAATGCCATGATGGACTTGATGAGGACGCTGCAAGATGACAGCAGTTCATCTCTGGAATCCTTGGAGTGAAAAAGACACAAGCAGCCTTTGGGGTAGAGTTGAGGGCACGCATTGTGACATGATGTTGAGAAGCTGTTACATGAAGAAGATCTGACTTTACTTGAGAAGCTTTTACATGAGGGTGTGACTTTACCTGTTGAGCTTTTACTTGAGGATGTGATTTCACTTGAGCATGGCACACTTTACTTGAGCATGGCAGACTTTACTTGAGCATGGCACACTTTACTTGAGCATGGCAGACATTACTTGAGGATGGTTTTACTTGAGTGTATTTTACTTCAGTGGTTGAGACTTTGTGTAAGTATACTTTACATGAGGACGCCATTCAACTTGGAATTGTGTGCTTAGTCTTGTTTAGTTTTGTTGTGAGTTGAAGTGTATTTGATATGTATTTATGAAATTTAGTTCAAAAAACTAGAAATTTAAGAGAAAATATTGATGAATTCTTGATGAACTTTTGATGCACTTTTGATGCACTTCTGATGTACTTTTGATGTACTTTTCAAAAGTGTATACACTTTTGATCAAAAGTGTATACACTTTTGTTAAAAGTGTATACACTTTTGAAAAGTACATCAGAAGTGCATCAAAAGTGCATCAAAAATTCATACAATTTTTTGACAGATTTTATGAAAAGCTATGATATTCTGCATCATATTGTCAGCAAAAAGATATCTAGCATTCTTGTGGGTTTATCCTTTACCTGAGAATGTAATGCTTTTGCACAAAGAGTTGATCAGCATTGTATGTTGTTCAATTTGAAGTTGGTTTATCCTTTACCTGAGAATGTAAAGCTTTTGCGCAAAGAGTTGATCAGCATTGTATGTTGTTCAAATTGAAGTTGTTGAGAGTTTACTGCACAGTTGGCTTATTGGTTGTTGTTTACTTTTGCAGCTAGATTGATCTCAAAGAGCTTTGAAAGGTTTGAAAGATAGGCGCAGTAGCTTGTTGGCATTGGCATGGCAGAGGAAGAGATCCCCATGGGCCAAGTCACTCCTGAGGAGAAGGACGATGGTGTAGTTGAAGAGCCCAGTACACCTGTGAAGCAAAGGCCAGCTTCCAAAGCAAAGACCCCAAAATCCAAGAGCCCAAAAGCAAAGAGCCCTAAAGGGAAGAAGCCCAAAGCAAAAGGAAAGAGCAAGCCAAAGCCAAAGCCAAAGGCAGGCTCTTTAAAAAGGCCTGCTGCCAGTGGAGAAACCGTACAGCCAAAGAAGAAGCCAGCAGCTCATGGCTGGGCAGCAGGGTTGCAGGAGGATCAGGAGGAGGAAGCACCAGAAGTTGAAGAGGATGAACCAAGAGAATGTGGAGGAGGAGGAGGAGGAGCAGGACAATGCAGACTTCTTCGAGTGCGATGAGGCCAAGAAGGACAGGTCGAAGGACAACAAGTTCAAGGCCTTGTTGTCTGAGGGCTCTCTGCCAGACTATGTTGTGCAGGCTTGGAAGAAGACCTTGAGCATGAAGAAGGGACGCACAGAAGAACAGCGCAAGATAGTGAACCAAGTCCTGGACAGGACAAAGGATGGAAAGCTCATGGTGCTTATACCCAAGATATTTTTCTTGTGCTTGTCTTTCCTGCGTGCTTATACCTGAGTGTGTGTGCTTGTGGTTTTATCCAAGTGTCTCTACTTGTGGCTATATGTTTTACAAATTACTTTCTTCAAAAGATGTGTTTTAGATGCAGTTTTGAATATTTGCAAATCAAAACGTAATGAAAAAATAGGAAAACCCTTAGTGAAGACCAACCGAAATAAATTTAGGTTGTACCTAAATCAAATTTACATTTACTAACCCATTTACACTTTTTGCCACCTAAATTCATCAATTTACGTAAATCCAATGAAAATGTAAATTTACTAATTTCGGTGACTTAGGGTAGGGGGCATGATTGTGAGGGAAAGTGGATATGGCTGGCGTCCGAGAAACAGCTGGAGAAGTCGAAGGATTCTTTTTTGAAGTTGAGAAAGATGTCCAAGGAGCTTTCTTTACAGCCCAACCAGGTTGGATAGCCATAGGCGATATTGCAAGATGCTTGCCGATGCAGCAGACACCACAGGTATCCAAAAGTGATGTTTAGGCAGGTCATATAACAACCATTGTTATAGAATATTACAGACACCAAAAGAATCTAAAGGACTTGCTATCAGGTTTCGTGCCTGGGGCCCCTGACCATCGCCATTGTTTGTGCGTGCGAGACACTCTGTGTGGATGGAGGGTCCGTGCTGTGAGGTTGAGATCGACATTGATCCCAAGACGGGAATCGGTGGTCGACTTGGACATTATATATTCAATATTATTGACAAGCACGGAATCAAGATCACGTGGAATGTGAATCTTCTTGTCATATCCATTTGCAAGTCTTGTCATTGCCCTTGGAATCCCTTGGATTGACTCATTGACAGACAAGTGTGTGTGTGTGTGTGTGTTGTGACGGCTCTACACGATGCCTTCAACCCAGGTGTTACGGTCGCTGGCGCCTTGGCCATCCTGTGGAGGCACCACGAAGCACCGCGAAGCACCACATTGCACCCCGCAACTGGAACACTAGGAGCAAGGACGCTACTACGGGTTCCTGGCCTTACTACTAGGAGCAAGAAACTACTAGTAACAAAGGGCATCGCTACTAGGAGCAAGAAACTATTAGGGGCGCTTGGCATCGCTACTAGGAGCAAGGACGCTCCGGCTTTAAGACGTTTTTCAGGAGGCAGATCTTCCGCTGAAGCCTGCAGAGTCAAGGCGTGGAATGAACGCATACATACGCATACCAACTGTTGCCTACTTAAAATGTTTTTTTTCGCTTAGAATTTGTTGGGCCTGTTACGAGTCATGCGTTTACATTGGGTTTCATGTTATTTTTGCTAGTGGGAAAATGTGGGAAACCTTGGAGGCTTAAGCCCGGTGAGAGTCGTTGACGAGATCAGTTGAGCATTTCAAACAACTGCAGTGGACGAAAGGCTCCACGTGGAAAGACATTTAGAAATTCAAGCGAAGCAGTTTGGGGCTGTTGGCAGTCGTGTTCCGCGACGAGCAACGAGCCTTTGCTTTTGCCTGGCCGAGGGCCAATCTTTTGCATGCCTTTTTTGCCACAGTGTACAGGGTTCTTTCCTTTGAGCAAGTGGAGGATAGCTGGCCCCTACTTGCACCAATTAGGTTCCAGCCAGCTGGCACCGTCAATACAGACCTGGGGTTGGAAATGTCCTTTTTGGTTGCCAACTTCTATGTAATGGGCACATTGTACCATGTGCACAACCACCATACCTTTTCTTTGCATGTTTGTCAAGCAATCCACACAATGCAGCTGAATTGGTGCTAAATTTGCCAATTAACACAAGAGCAAGCTCTTTCTGATGGCCACTCCATGTTGGACCATGCATGGATCAAGATGTATCAAGGATTATTTCATGGAAGATGCCTCTTGCTAGCCTTCACCGTGCACTCTGTTGGATTGATGACACTGGGACCCAAGCAGTGGCATTTCAGGAATGACACCATGACCACTATATAATATTTTGTTAGACACGTGTGGCTGCCAAACACCGGTGACATGTTTCAAGCATATTCAGCTTCAACACACTGGTTGCACTCGGCAGCTCTTTGCGTGACTGTGCAACCGAAACAAGAGATCAATAACGCACGCTCTTCGCTTTTGTGATCTTTGCCATGGCAATGAGGAGCCGAAACTGGCAAGTTAATTACTTAATTACTTAGTTTCGTCACCGCCAATTCTCTTTGATATGTGAGGGTATTGCCATGGCAAAAGGAAAATTGAGGATTGAATATCTAAAACAATGGGTGCATTCTGGAAGATACCTTTGTCCTCCTCAATTTAGACAAGATCTTGTTGTCCTCATTGTTCTGTTGTAAACGCCGATGTCTTCGCCATTGTCAAAGGAGGAAACGACTTCACCCGTGCGCCTGCCGCCTAGCACACTTTGCCAAAACAAAGGACACGAGATGACACGGGGCACAACAAGATAGCTCTGGTTAGATCCAGAGGACCAAAGAGTGTGGTTTGTGAAATAGATAATATGTCAACATCCACTCTGTTGTTTTGGTCAAGTACATTTGTAAATGAAACACATGCTGCTGTATGTCATATAAGATCATATAAGTATCTGTAACTATACTTATGCGTGCATGTATTTTTCGGTCAAAAAACGGGTATTTCGCCAAACAAGGTTTTGCATGTATGAGACCTGATCTCTGTTGCCTAAGGTCGGCGCGGCGCTCGCGCTACCGCTTCTAGGTGTATGGTCTTTAACCGGGCACGCCTTCGTCCAGGCCTCTTTGATATGACCAGTCGCTCGTCGAGTCGCCATTTCCGAATCTGCTACTCTTTCCTTGCTCCGTGCTTGCTTTCCGCAGCTCGAGAAGTCGTTACCATCTACAGTCAAGTGCGCTTTAAGATCACACATAACAATAATCATTTCTAATTGAAATTAAATGACATTAGAATGGCTTGCCACGACTACCGGTGAAGACCCTTCGAAGTCCAGTTCCATTTTATTTATTTTAGCTGGCGTTGCTTTGTACTTGAATTGCCATGGTTCTGTGACAATTGCATTTCGAGAACATTAATGTGCCGAGTCTGCCTGCAGCAAACAGTGAGACTGTAGGCCAGTGTATCGACCTATTGTGTAATAGCATGAGATCATTGGATATTGACATGTTTTGACACTCAAAGTGTTTTGCAATGTCAGACCACTTAACAGTGGAGACAAGGTTTTGACACGCTTTTACTCTGCCATGGCTACACCCTTGCGTCGAGCGCACCTATTACTGCAACAGCTGACTGGTGTAGAATGGAGGCACGTAGTTTGACATCTTCCAACCTCTTCAGCCTAATTAGGGGGCAAGAATGGCATGTGGGTGGCTTTGAAACAGATGGTGAAGGTCTTCTAGACTTCTATAGGTCTAGGCCTAGGCTAAGGAGACACACTATTTACATCTATTTACAAGTGTGTCCCCCTTCTCAGAGGCTTTTAGATTTTTCAATATCACAAGCTTCAATCTCACAGGAGTCCACTGCGTGGCCTTGCGACCAGCGCCAGCATGGCGGATCCTGAGGCAAAGCTGCAAACATGTTATATATATATATAGTTGTTTGGTTGTTGCTCAGAACACATTGAAACAAAACTGCTATGGGTAGATCCGCAGAAAGACAAAAACGTTTGAAAGAACCTCGGCTGAATTGCAGTATTATATTCATAGTACTGCTAGGCTATATATGATAACGCAAAGTTCTACCTTTTGAACGGTTTGTTACAAGCAGCCCTGACACAGCACAAAGCTTGTGGGAGGCTTTTTCTTTATGACCTTTGAGGCATACAGGCTTCCTTCAAAAGGTTCTCAATTGGGTCAAGCCGGAGAGGCTCGTTGTGGAGCTTTGCGTATTGTTTTCTGTTAAAGTGACCGGCACCCTGGTGATGTTGATATCCAACACGTTTAATCTCTTCACCCTTTACTTGGCTTGCTAGAGCTGCCAGGCTGGAATCAAGCTTTCAGATTCAGATTGGAAGTCAAGGCTTTCATCAAACCAGTAGCCTGGCAGCACTACCAGATGTTTGGACCAGGACATGCTATCAGCTCACAGTGACACGGAGGCTTTATTTGAGCGGAATTGAAGGTACTTGGTGCTTCGGAAGAAGGCAACAGAGCCAGGACAGTTATGTTCAATTGTTGATTAATAATGGTTGATACAGACAGATTTCCAGCAGATGCCAAGAGGCTTTTGCCACGAGGTAGCTGGTCAAAAATGAAAGCATGACGAGGACACCGCCTGCTTTTCCCAGATGGATTTGACAATCACTTTGAAGAAGGCCCGAAGAATCCACGGTGTGTTTTTGCTTACAGTCCTCATACTCTTGTCACTGAGTGCCTCCATTTTGAGTCACACCCGTTACAGAGCTGAGCAGGTGTCTACTTCTGTGCTGGCTGCTTGGCAGCAGGGACAAAACAAGCTTTGTGGCTCGTCGTGCATTTGTGTCCGCAGCCTAAACCGAAGCGATCATGCAGCACAATAAGAATGCCATGGGCAGATGACTGAAACATGCAGATAGTAACTCAGATAATGATAGTATGAAAAACTATTGAAAGCTCGATTCTTTTGACAATGGACAACAGTGGCCCAGGTACACCAACAAGATGAAGTTTGACTGTGGATGTGGATGGCCTGGCTTTTGGACCAATGCCAACACCCTAGCAAAGCGACATTGCTCATTTGACGGTCTGAGGCTGTTGTAGTTGAAGGGAAGAAGTTGAAGAGTCGAGGTGGACGGAAACGTCATTGAGTTGCAAGATGCAGATGGCAGCCGCTGCTTGGACACAGCTGCACAACTGGCGTATGTCGCAACAGGTGTTATTGTTGGAATTGGTGTAGTTCATGAACGGTCAGCCTTCCCCCAATGCCAACGCCGTGTGCCTATACTGCCTGTTGCACTTCAAAAAGGAATACATGCTAGCGTGTCATGCCGTCTGAGGCTGGGAAATCCTTTGCTCAAGGTGCCATGGGCACCTGGGACATGTTTTTCGAGGTGAAGGCTTTGGCTTTTGCACCGATGAGCGACACTGCGTCAATTCCATGAGTACCTCAGTCAGCACAGCTCGTCACGCTGCTTCTTAGAGGGGAAAGAAGGTGAAACCTGTTAGAAGATACATAGCTCATGGTAGGTTTTGTGTTCAGATGTGTGCGACACGATGCTGTGGTGAGTAGCGCTTAGAACTCTAGATCCTGAGTCTAGGTTAGCAACCTCTCATCGTGGTCAATTGCAAACGCCCACTAAAATGAATGAAGTCTTCTGGAATTGCCCCGTCCCTCAAACTCAGGTTTGGCCTTCATGCGAAGGGGCAGTGAAGAAATCGTCATGCCATCCTATCAGGGACCTGTCTTCGGTTTCTGACTGTGACGTCAGATGCGACCACGCATGATGGAAAGACAAGACCGCTTGCTGTTGCTGGGTTTATTTGTGAGAATCTGAGAAGCAGAGCTGACTTGTGGAGAGACTATTGGAGGATCATAGATTCATGAGACTAGTGCGCTACCCCCGCAGCTGCATTGTCGCAGGCGATGCGGAAACATATGCAGAGAGGGCTTCGTACAAGAAGGCAAAGCTCAGTGGCATGCAGCCCACTTTTTGCTTGAACAGTTGTTGTTGTTGTTGTTGCGTTGTTTTCTTTTTGTGAAGAGAGCTGTACACCCGTTCCGAACGGAAGGTTAGCAGAGGAAGATTCCAAGCAAGAAGAGGTGGGGAGAGGAGGTACCCCCCCGACGGACAAACATGGAAGTGGAAAATTGCCATTGGAAAGACTTTTTCATCTACAAATGGAGGGGCTTCCACTTCCATGTTACTGAATCCGAGCGTACATCAAGTTAATCACAATAGCTAGCATCGGGCTAATTAGTACTCTGTACTCTACGCACATAGGCGGACAATTAAAGCTGCGCTTGTAGCATGTCTTAAATATATTTTAGGAAGTATTTTAGGAGCATTTAGTTGATTGCCGCTTGCCTTTTTGTAGCTATTATATAATGAAATATACAATCGTTGGCAGCCACAAAATGCCGTCAACAAATTCGATTAAGGCACTGTTGAACATTCTCCTGCCGCCACTGCTGTGACATCTGTGGGCACAGGATACAACGAATGTTGAACTCTTCCGACAGTCTCTCATTCAAGGCACGGTGACAAGTGTTCAGAAGTCGCTCTCTTGGACTGTCTTGAGTACAGCAGCTGATACATATCTCATCATATCATCATAATTAGTATCATAATTCCAGCTGATGCCGTTTTGAACAGCTATATGCATTGTCACGAGCCCCTCGCACACCCAACAGTTATTGAACAACCAGAGTATACGCTATTCCTTTGTTGTTCACCGTAAGCGATGAACTGATACTCAGTGTGAACGACACCGCAGGATGGGGAGCTGGTGAGGTTGGACGCTCATCAGGCGATCCACGGGTACGATACGAAATGAGTTCGTACATGACGCGGAGAGTCCCAAAGGAACATGGATTGATTGATCATCGATTTGAAAACATTACCATGTTCACTGGGCTGTCCGCTCAAAAACGAACCAAAAGCCCGATCGAAAGACTGAAAAGGGAAGAGGTAAGGAAGTGATGCTAGTGGCTAGTACACGACGTGGGTTTTGTTGTGGGGACTTGCTACTAGGTTTGAGGACATCGCTAGTAAGTTAGAGGCCATCGCTCTTTAGGGGCAGGCAATCGCTTCTAGGTTGGAGGCCATCGCTATTAGATTAGGTTGGAGCTTATCGCTGTTAGGGGGGCCATTACAATTAGGCTCCCATTATTGCTTTAGATTTCTTCCACATCGTCTCCACCGGCAGACTCAGCTGATTGGGCAGAGCTTGTGGATCCGGCTACCCGCTGAGTTCTGTTTGAAGAAGAGTGACATTTGGCAACATTTCCAAACACGCTATGTGCAATGTTGTCGAAGCATGTAGCTAGAATCTTGGGCAAAGTTGCGAAGCATCATGTTGCATGCACGAATCATTGTGTAACGAAATGCTGATGATGATCCCAGCGTATTTTATGACACACCCTCAAAAGATTTGCCTGTAAACATGCAAGTCGTTAAAGATGCCTGCATTTCAGTATACAACAGATCTTTAAGATGTTATCAGAGTCTTTTGATGTCCCACCCCAGTGACGTTGAGTTTCAAAAATAAGGATGCGGTTCAAGCTGGCGACATGTTGCTCGGACACCCTGCAAGGTGGGGCTGGCATCGATTAGTCATATTATGTCATATTGTTTGTATCGGTTTGCAGCAACAGCAACATGTTCCACGTCGTTTCGGAAAGCGTTGGGCCATGTGTTTGGATTGAGTGTACAACCTTCAGGTTTTTCAGTGAGAGGACCTCGCCAGCATTTACAAGAATTGGATTGCAGGCACACCTGTGGGTTTGATTGGCGTGGTTTCAAGGTTCAACTGGAGATATCAAGGCAAAGATCATCAATTTCCCAACTTGCTAGACTTGCAGTTGCATTCAAAGAAACCAGCTCCGTCATGAAGAAGCGTACATGATAGCAATATTATATATATGTGATTCATTTGTTCCAAATAAATCCCTGTGGACGACATTGAAACAGTCAAAATGCTGGGACTGCTCACCTCTTTCAGGGTGGCATACCGGCAGACTATCCTCGCCGCGAACGTTTGGAGCGCCCGACTTGCTTGAAACCAAACATGGAGGAGCACCCATGGCAAGACAAACAAAGGTTGTTCCAAGCTTTGCATGTTTTAGCAGCTGGCCTGTGAGAAGTGCGATGAAACCTGCCAGCGCTATTTGCCGGTTCTTCTTCTCACTGAAGTCAACAAGGACGTTGGCTTTGTCACCTTTCTGCGAGACTGGTTGGACACTGATAGAGAATTATATAACTCCTGCAGGAAGCCGGCACTGCAAAGGGTGCCTGGGACCTCGGGGCGAATTTGGAAGGGAAGAGTGCCAAAGAGTGCCCCTTCCCTACGCCTGTCGTCTTTGAGTAGAGCACTTGAGAATTCAGGTGTGGCTCACTTTGCGGACTGGTCAGCTCTTGGGTAGCCTGCCCGCGTTGAGCATGACTGGGGCGATCAGCTGTCGGCATTGTCATTTATGAGGTTAATACGTCCATGCATGGCTGTGTCAGAAAGGAAAAAACCTGGCCTTTGATGGGATGTGCACAACGAGAGCATGAGCATGTTGCTGCCAGGTGACTTCATCGACTTTTTTCACAGCAGGTGCTGCTTGGTTTGGACAATGCCTCCGGCAGCAAGATTGAAGCATCGTGAGTCATGAGTGAGGGAAATTGCATGTCGCTTGGATTTGGAGATTGCCAAGCCTTTTGCTTGATGTACGTTACGCATAGCCGCCTAGCCAAAAGCATTCGGAACATTAGTGAGACTGTGCGTTGTTTTCAGTTTATGCTGAATGCAGGACAGTCTAAGCATGCCTAAGCATGTTATTATTAAGTACTGTACTTATGTCATTGTCATTGAGCTGTCCTGAAGCTCTGCAGGCCCCTGCTGTATGGAGGTCCTACTCCCTCTGAAAGCTTGGTCCTCAAGCTGCCATCAAGTTGCTTGTTTTGGTCAGCTTTCGACACAGGTGTGACGATGATCCATCCCTATCCGGAGGCCAAACATCTTCTCAAGTACCACCCTCTCACACGCGCACACACACACAAACACATGCAGGGTCATGCAAGTCTTGGGCCTCTAAACCGCAGCATCACACGTGAACGCAACAGTTCTTGGAAGATCTCATGCCATTCCGTTTTACAAAGAATCGCACGTCATGGCTCACGTTGGTGTCGTCCAAGTATGTCGTTTGCTTTGTGCAGAAATATGCAGAAATCAGGTGCCAGGATCCAAAAAACTGTCCGACGACATTTACCTCGGGGGATCCTTCGAAGGTGCCCAGGCCTGCTGAACAGCTGTGTTCAGATGTTGAATACTTGAGCAGACAAACGAACTTCTTTGCTTCAGACCTATTGAGGCTTGGGTTGAGGAGGGTGAGGGCTCCTCTTTGCGGATCCGCTTTTTCCTGAACCACATTGAGTGGCGCCAAGGTGAGCTCCTTTAGAACCCACGTCAAAAAACGGATTCTCCATCCGACTCAAAACTGACTTGTAGGCGAGCTTGCCGCGGAGCTAGCACCTGAGAACACTTGGCTGCCAGTGTTGGGTTCCCCAGAGAACAAGCAGCAATCCAGCTTTAGGGTACAAAATCCACCTTTGGCAGTAAACAGACTCAGAGTATCTCTCAGATTTCTTTGGATAAGATGATCAGAGATGGTTAAGACTCGACTTCAGCTTTCTTTGCAACTGGTTGGCCTCTTGATCCACTGATGCTGGTGTCCGACTGACCAGGAGATGCTCAGTGGATGTGGTTCTATCCGAGGCGAAGACATTCGTAATTCCCTTGGTAGTAAGGCCAGGAGCCCCTAGTACCGTCCTTGCTCCTAATAGCATTCCCTTCTCAAAAAGAAGTTGCTTGGCTACAAGATTTGACTCACAAACGCCATCCGCATGAAACGGTGAACATGCATCCGGCTGTCTTGGCCGCCTTGGTTCGTAGACGGTTGCTTGGTGCAATTGTATATAAAGACTCTTGTTTTGCAAACAGAATGTGGATCAGGCAATACTTTCCTTTGCATAGTTCACCTGCATAGTCAAGCTGATAGGTCTAGATTCGATGTAAGAACTTCCGCTGCATTGGTTGAACGAGGATGATCACACACAGTAGGACTGATCAAATTCTCGTTATGACCCGACCCTGCCTGCAGACCGATGCTATTGATGCCAAGCCCCTGTGGGTAAAGGTGCATTCGCTGAAAGATACAACATGATCATGATCAAACGGTCTGAGCGAGCTGCCTTTCTGTCCGATAGATTTTTTTCATAATATAATACTATATATATAATATATCATATCATACTGAGACAAGACATACTGGCCTGTCACTGTCCGACACAGACATTGGCCTTTTGGTCGGCCACGCGACCATGGTGTGGCTGAATCCAAATTTGTTTTGTTCACACTTGTTCCTAATAGCTTTTTGTTACTACTAGTAAGGCACTTGTTACTAGAAGCGATGCACTTGTTCCTAATAGCTTCTTGTTACTAGAAGCGATGTCTTGTTCACCTGACCTTGCAGAGCCCCGGTAGCGCAGGTAGCAGAGTTGGCCGGTGGCGAGCTCGAAGAGTTAGGAGTTCGACTGGGACAGACTCGAAGAGCTCGATGTTTGAGGGTGTTTGATGGTGTACAAACACCGAGTGGATTGTGGTTAGAGGGTGTTTGCGGGTGTTTGTTTGTCAAGTTGTTAGGTGGTTTATGGATTTAGTTGTGCAAATGGGAATGTGCAGACTGGATGTTTTACGGGGGACATTGAAGGTTACCATGGTCGAGTGGTCGGTTCAAAGATCCTCAGACGCTGGCCATCAGGACGTGCACATGATCTTATGTGAAAATTGTGAAATGCCTGGCCAAAAGTTGCACAGGAGGAAGAGGAAAAAGGCCGCACAATCACAAGCGTGGCATAGTGTAGCTGCTGGCTTGTAGACTAGTCTTTTGATGCCATTGTTGGCTGATGTTACTGATGTTGTTTTCTTTTTGCGACGCAGCCGTTGCTGCTCCAAGGCTACATAAGGCATTATAAGGCTACTCTACAAGTTCTGTAAGCACCTCAATCTGTTGTGAGGGCGAACTTCCTGTCCACTATGCGAGTCCTGCTTCGCTTAGCTTACCACTTGGAAGTGTACAGCCACAGCAATGTCCTACCTTGCGCAACCTTTGCAATGGAAATGTGCACAAAGCTGCTCATCAAAATGCTACTGTTGCTCAGGTTGGTCAGTTTGACAAACACTGAAAGCAATCAACATCAAACAACAAGGCTCCTGTTAGCCTAATTGAATGTGGTTTCATTGCCATCAATCGACTCAGAGCCATTCATCACCCGAACCTGCCAGGTCATACAGGGCTACAAAGACCTAAGGCAGAATCCCCGCTCTTGCAGCTTGCCTGCACTACAGAACCAACCACAGATTTTGGTTGAGTGAAATTAAAGGGACAAGTGACAGGTGAGATTACTTTGTAGACCAATAAACCAGGGCCCTCTTCGTCTACATTACACGGATGAGGACCCTCAAAGATGCAAGAATCGAATTGGTACTGTAGCAAAGAGGATGCGGCTCAAATCATGTGTTGGCAGAATTCGAGTAGGAGTTTGAACCAGGGTCTTTAAGAAGTTCTATCACATGAATGCAATAGATTGCCATCGATCGCTCTAATTGATCGTAATGCAGCGATCTCCTAAGGGGCCCATACGTTCGTGGGTTGCCAGCTATTCTGGCACTCTCCGGGGCATCTCAGTGGCGGAGGCGGAACTATCAGTGTCAGAAAGTCATGTGCAACGCCTTTCTACCAAGTCTGAGTCTAAAGATGTCTAAAGTCTGTAAGACAAGCATCGATGTGTAAGACAGCCATTACTGTAAATCGCTTTGAGGTTGACTTGAAACTGAGGCCAGGTGCTCGTTCGATTTTTTTGTACCACCGTTTTTCTTGCTCGGCAGGAAATACAATCGCTCTAGATGTGTTGCCCGTGCGCAGACAGAACTGGTGGAGAAGGACGCGGCTGCGGACCTTTGTCGTATGAGTTGCTGTTGGCTTCAGAATGGCTTCTGAACGCTGTTGAACTGCGCCGGAAGCCTAGAAATTAAGCGCAGTTCCAGGCAGGCACATCGTTTGGTCGGATTCCTTAAAGTTGACCTGGCCACACCATATTGTGGTATGAATTGGACAAAAAGACTGGGCAAGAAAATCAAATACATCAATCATTTCTCGCGATACACAAGAAAATAAAAATGTGGCAACGTCCCTACTGTGGCTTCGAGGCTTGGCTTGCGACTCATGGCAGCTGTTTTAATAAAGCCCTTTGATCTAAACCACTCATAGTTTTGCTGTTAAACAACATCATCAGTATCAGGATTTTGTTGCCAGGCGAACAGACCACAGGATCTTCGAACAGAGCAGACTTCATGACTGCACAAGTTTGGATGACAATCTGACTGGATAGGAGATTCGGGCCGCTATGCAGCTGGATCCGACACGGCTAGAGATTCAGTCTTCCAAGGATGGTGCCTGACTTTCAAGCCTTTTTCACATTTGGTGGAAGAAGTCTTGGCTGCATGTTTTCACATGCACTGGAAACAGGACAGCAACGACAACCGGGATTTGCGGGGTGAATGGTCAGAGCCTTGCCGTGTCTTTCTTGTGTGTCTAGGCCCAATCTGATGAAGTGAAAGGCAGATGTCCGAGCTTGAACCAGGCTGCCACTCTTCCGGGGTTCTGCGCCTTATGTTGCAATGCCAGAAGCTTATTAGCAGTACTACCTCAAATGGTCACATGGTGTTTGTATTTATTATTAACTTTATGTAAATCTTGACAACGAAGAGTTCATGGACATGCTTGGGGATTGTGCTGCAACAAGAGCTCTGCACATATGCAGGTTGGATCCTGTGCTTGAGATTTAGTATCTATAGGAGTATTGACTCCTGCTTTTGGCCCAAGCTCCCAGCAGCAAGATTCAGTGACAGCAAGGATACTGCTGTATTTCTGACAAGCCTTACATCCAAACAGATTTGGCCCACCCGCATATGAACCTGAATTGAGCCTCTTGACGGTTTGCCAAATGGGTTTCTAGATGGACTAGACGCATAGGACAGCAACAAACAGGTGTCCTGGGCGTGCAGTAGGTGCAAGAGGAGCAGCTTCTCAGCTTGGGCTGCCATGAAAGGGATTCTCAGGCAAGGGTAGGGTTTGTGGGAGCAAAAAGATTTCGGCAATCCCAGGAACGAGACCGTTGTTGTTCGCGCTTTTTACCTTCGCATTTGGACTTGTGTCACATACAAACATGTTATGCTTGACACGGTGCATGATATAAAAATTGAAACACATGTTGGAGTAATCGTGCAGGACCGCCAGGATGAGCAGGAAACAGGCCTGGACGGCATTAATTCGCTTTGACACAGTGTGTGGTTTAAACTCAGCTGTCCTCGCTTTGCAGAACCTCCGCGGCCTACCCCCCCCCCGTCCTTGTTACTACTAGTAAGGCCAGGAGCCCCTACTAGCTTTTTGTCACTACTAGCAAGGCACTTGTTACTAGTAGCGATGCACTTGTTTCTAATAGCTTCCTTGTTACTATTTTCAGTGATTGAGCACTTTTGGGATCAGTCTCAGGGATCTGCACACATCACTGGCTGCGTGAGAAAGCCGTGCCAGGTGATAACCTGGCCAGTGCTTCTTTTTTGCTTGGTATGTTGCTCAGACGCGCCATGCTGTTTTTGCTTATCCTTGCAAATTGGTTTGAGATGAGCTTGTACACACTTGGCTCCCCAGGTGCCCGGGCCTTCTTTTCTATCGTTGCACAGGCAAGTTGCAAGATTCCTACCCACTGACCGTGGTTTTGGGCAGGGAGGCCCAAAAAGTAAGGTGCAATTTCCAGGATCCCCGTGACCCAAAATCAAAAGTAACTTGAGACGCCCCAGGTACCTCCGTAGTATTTATTTTGGTGGAGGGGGGGCTTAACAAGTGCAGCATCAGACCTCCCACCTTGCAAGTTACATTTCTGCATGCCCTGAAGCCTAAGCACATTTGTTCGGGGGTTTCACGCTAGAGATGAGTGTGGGATTTGAATTGTTTTGTCATGGTGTGTCACATTTCGTAACTGCCAAAAGCCATTGGCTCTAGGTTACATGTAAGCTACGATTTCAGAGGTCTCCAAAACTGTGGTCGATACGCATCTAGAAATCCAAAGGAAACTCATGGAAACTAGATAGCTGCAAGATGCACACTGGAACAAATAGTCCATAAAGCTACTAGGAACAAAGGAAGACAGAAAGAACAACAAGAATGGTCTAAAGAAAGGAAAACACGAAGAAACAAAGAAAGGAATGAAGAAAGAGGAACCTCCAAAAAGGTAAGGTACATGTTTCCCAGCCATCCCGCAAAAATGTAACTTATATGTTTGGAGGTTCCTTTTTGCTCTTTCCTTCAATTGTTCCTTTACATGTAAGTCGCAGGAAAAAATGGTCCCCAGGCTTTTACGTGAAATTGCGCGGGAACCTGCAACATGTAACATTACATTTTCTACGGACACAATTGACATATCACATTGTTGAGGCGCCAAAGCACGGAAACATGCAAGTTACACTTTGGGACCTCCACCGGCTGCAAATTATGGCGATGTTGCAAGTATTTTCAGACTTGACATTTCATTGGTAGTAGTCTGTTTGCACCTCATGGCATCATTACGGCTGCGTATATTTTCCTTTGGTGCTTCTGAATTCTTGATACATGGTACTTTTATATAGATCCTTTAGTGACTTTAGTGCCTTTACAGGATTTGAACAATCTCAGGGCCTTTGACATGCTGCCTTGTACTGTATCTAGAAAATGCAAGTCATTGAGCCAGGCCAAGGTGTGCCATTCGAACTGCGCTTCAAGCGGAGGACTTGACACGCAGCAAACAGAGAGAGGGTGGGCCAATCTCCAAATCCCTCATCAACAGGTCTTGACAGGTGACAAATGTCTTGGACAGGTCACCCAAACTCCTGTGGATACACATCGGGGGACTGATCATGAATGCTGCCACTCCACTTTACTCCTTGTTGCTCCTCCACTCAGCGTTTTGGGAGGAGTCGGCGCACTTCCGTGCAACAAGTGTTCCTGGCGATGTTATCGACATTGAAAAAAGGCAACACTTGTTTGCATAGCTATTAGAAACAATAAGCTACTATATAGGAACAAGTGCAACGCTTCTAGTAACAAGTGCCTTACTAGTAGTAACAAGAAGCAATTAGAAACAAGAATGACATAGAAACAATAAACTTATTTTAATTCTATGTTTGGTTTCAAGAAACTTGTTTGCATGCAACAATGCGTGCATTTGTGCACTGCACTGGTCCGCCAGGCTTTGCTCCAGGTGGTGTCCAGAGCAAGTTGAAGGAGTGAACACACAGCCTGCAGCTTGTTGTACCAACAAATCGTTTTGATGATTCCAGGAGGAAGGGAGGCCCATAGAGATCAAAGGCTATTTGCAAGAAGCTTTGCTCAAGGCCCAAGAGCAAGCCTCTGGGGACACCAAAGGCCAGCTGACGAGTTGGTTGCTTTGCGACAGGCAAACCTTCTTGATCGGGCTGATGACATCCAGTAAGGAGCCTCAGTGAGTCCAAGTATGTCAGAAATTCTCAGGGCAGGGATATCCATGGATATCCCACACATTGTGCAGAAACTTGAAAGCTGGATTATATGATTCTGATTATCCATGATTATCCTAGATTTCACAGTTTGATTTGGATGGTTTGAACACCTAGGGACTGGTGCGAGGAGCAAGGCAGGCTGAAGCAAGATTGCTGTGCGATGTAGATAGTGTCACAAAGGGTTCTCTCCAGCACTATAATGCCTGTCTCGGAGTAAGTCATGTTCAACAGATCTTTTGCACAAAAGGCGATCATTTGCTTTCCCACCGCTTTCCCACCCACACCCCAAATAAGCAGTGAACTATAGTCGTCCATGAGCCTTGGGAAGAAAGTTAAAGTCCTGGCCTCCAGTAGCTTAGTTTCGTTTAATCAGACTCCACATCGGAGAGATGCAGGCGCCGAGCTACTCCAAGAAGTTCTCGACGAGCTGCTGAGACTAAACTGTACTAAACTACACGGTTTTGTCGCGTCAACATTAGATGACCGGAGGATACAAGAGGCTCTTTTTGGACCATCAGCACCGAAAATAGGAAAACCATAGCCTTTGCGAAGAATCAGATAGATTAATGAATCAATATAAACATACCAGGATGTCTTCAGTGATGTTGACCTTTCGTGTTTTTAGCTCGTTCTTTTTCAGGTTAAACACCTTGGGTGAAGATCTCGAGCTTGAGAATGATGTGCTCTCGTGACGCGACAAAGAAATCTGCAGATCTCACTGATTTTGTCATTTTGCTGGGTTGCAGCCATACTCCTCAAATAACCTGAGAGGAACTAACTGAATAATCTGAGCTTACTTCACAAGGCAGCTTGCCTTGTTTGCAGTCCAGTGAAACACAAAAGCTAAGGAGACTCGGAGATGCACTCCTTCAAACACAACAGAGCGCCCGCGAAGAGATGGAGGAGCGAGAACGTGCTACAAGGCAGGAATACAGTGACCATAGTGACCGGAGGTTTTGACCATCGCTTATCTATCGCGCCACTGCTTGGCATCTGTCTAAATCGACTTGTCCCCAATCGGTTCGTTCTTTACATACTCTCGGGCAGAAGTCTTTGATTGTCGCAGTCGATGAGAAAAGCTGTGCGTTTGTCAAACATCTCGCCCAGGGAAGGCATGGCGTCACTTGGACACCGGCTCATGAATGGACAAATTTCTCTCGAAGCTGCGACTTGGCGGTGAAATGCGATTTCCTTAGGTCCGAATCCATCCGAATCCGATGTTGACCTTTTTTAACGTTTGAAATCTTGCTGCCGCCTATGGAACGAAGGACATTTGTTGCCTGCTCAGGTTCAAGAGGCATACGGTTCAATCGAGCAGAAGACCTGAACACTGGCCCGCGCCAGATTTCTGTTTGCAAACAGATGTTTGCACTGGGAAGATGGCGCTGCACGTTCGACGTTTCACTCCAGCGCTCCAAGCGGCATCAAAACCCGTGCGAAACTACATGGTGATGCAGTGCGGAACCAGTGTGAAAAGAATCTGTGACCAGTTGTGACAATCTTTTGCCCAAGGTTTCGGCAGAGTATCATGGTCTTTCACATCCCTGGACGACTCTTGATGGAGACACAGTCCTCCGAGCTACAGCCACAGAAAGGATGAAAAGAGATTAGCAAAACAAACAAGAAAGAAGACAAGACAAGAAAGAAAGGTCTAGAAGGTCTAAAGAGTGAAGATATCAAACGTTTGTGCTGATTGGTGTCTAGAAAGACCGAATGATAGAGTTCTTTTAATGTTTAAGGCTGGAGGGCCTGCTGGGTGCCGAGCTCAAGAGTGAGGTATGGAGACAGGGCATTCTGATGAAGAACGGCTGATCTGGTGTATAAAAGATCCTCCAACCTAATAGATGCTATTAGCGATGGCCTCCAACCTAGCGATGATAACAAGGTGACATTGCTCTTTGTGCAGTCCTTGGAGTTCGGCCAGTTTTGGTGCCATCCTTGTCGTTTCTATCTTAGCGGAATGCTTCCAGCGTAGAAACAACCTCGATCCTGACCAGTTAGAACGCGGCTCTCCAGGCAACGAGTATGGGCCAGACTATCTGCAGAATGCAAAGAGTTCGAGGCTGTCCAACATGCAGTAAATGGCAATTGCACCAACGGGCCATACCATCCTTGGGCCATTGCCGACAGTGTTGTGAGTATTACAGGTCAAGGAAGATCCGGATGCACTGGAGGTGTTAATCTTGGTAGATGTTAGTGCTTGTTCTTTCCCAGTTGAGGATTTGAGATTTTTGACAATGTGGAAAGATTATACCAAATTATACCGTACTGAAGGTCGTTGGTTGTATTGACAAAGCAGAAGTAAATCTTCCTGGCTGAGGCGCTCTGTAATGCATCCTTTGAGAGTGCAGAAATGGTGCTGGAAGCCCTAGCGACAAAGCAATGGCTTTAATAGTCAGGAATGAAAGCATGACTTATCATGCCACAATACCTCTTGGAGAGCCGCATAGATTCCACCCAATCAAAGTTCCAACTTCCAACAGTGCATACAGCGTCGGGTAAAACAAGCACTATGTGACTATGTGACTATGTAGGATTGCGGTGTTAGAACGCGTATTTTGAAGGTGCCACGCTTCATTCCGCTGACGCACTTTTGCAATGGTAAGGGCTCGGTTGTTGAAGCAAGAAGCTGGCATGCTGTGTGCAGAGGCGCGCGTTTCTTGGCAGCTATGCCAGTAGACCACGGTGGAAGAATAGTCCCGGAACACTCTAGCTTGGATGCCAAACACTCTGAAGTTCGCTGTTGTTTGCGAGTTTGCACCGCTGCAGTGTCACTCATTGCCGTTTTGGATCGAGTGAAACTACAGAGATTGCATATACCCAAAAGTTCACCTTTTCATTTCCCACATCCAGCTGGGCACTTGCTGCTGACCGAGACTTTTTGGGAGAGAGACCGTTGAAGCACGTGGCAGCGACAGTGAGCTCAAAACCACTTGGCTGTCCACAGTAGCGACGTAGCGACAAGCTGCTCATCCGAGGAGCTTCTGCCGAATGACCCGAACCCCGAACACCTGACGTTGCCCATGGCAGTCGCGTTGGCAGTTCCTGGTGATGTCAGCACTTTAAAGGATGCACTTGAAGAGGGCTTTGCACGCTGCTGCAAAACAGGTCGGGCTATCAGCTGAAGGAACTATGTAAAAACGCGACCAGCCAAAAATTGTCCTTTGAACCTTTCAAGACCTTTCAGAGTGTCGATCGACGGAGATGCATATAATTTCTGTTGAGAGCTTAAACAAATTACAGTACTGATTTTATAAGATCTTACCACCCCATACCTCGCTTTGGAGGTTCGAGATGGTTCGAGGTTCCAATGTTTTGCTCCAGGAGCGCAAAAACTTGAGCTGAGTCTGGAAGCGGATCATGCCGAGCCAAAGGAAGCTTGGCCACTAGAGATACTGCTCTCAAAAGGACGGGATGGCTGCCAGACAGCATTGCAAGAAAGAACTGACAAGAGTTGGCAAAGAATTATCCAGAGTCATCAGTCATCAGCTGGATGTAACGAAATTATTTTCCCAGTCCTTGGATTGAACATGAATGTTGAATGATAGAAAATCCATCAACATAAATCGTAGATCACGTGTTTTGGTGTCATTCAGTTTGTTTCCCCTTCAGTTGTGAGGAGGTCCGCAACATGTCGAGATCACCGGACCTGCGTGTCGCAGTGCAAGACTTGGCAACCTGCAGATGCAAGCAGAGTCTCCATGCACGTTGCAAATGTGCCATGTCACCTGTGGAAACGTTTATCTTGAGGCTCAACTGCACTGATTTGCATGTTGTAAGTTGTAAGTACTTCATTTGGAGCTGCCAGATGTGCCGATTTGGTTGGCTTTGAATTCAGATGAGCTCACTTGGTTTGGTTTCGGGGCTTGGGAATTGATTTCACAAGCTGGAGTTAGCAGCTCGAGTGCTATCAGGAAGGAGCCGGATGCACACTGGAGGACTGTGAGGTCGGACGAAGACCACAATGTTGAATAACATGTGTAACGAAGGATATGAACATATATGAACAAGTCCGTAAAGTATCCAATGGACATGGAGTGAGGTGTGATCTTACATCATGTCTTCACCTTCGCAATTAGGTTGAAAGCCATCGCTATTAGGTTCCTTTTGCTACTAGGGTGGAGGCCATGGCAGATTGCAGAGGCACGGGTCCAACTCTCTTTCAAGTCTCCACCTAGTAGCTTCAAGACTTCAAGCTATTCGTAGCTTCTTGTTCCTAGTAGTAAGGCCAGGAGCGCCCCTAGTAGCGTCCTTGCTCCTAGTAGCGATGCCCTTTGTTCCTAGTAGCTTCAAGTCTCTATGGCCTTAGCAATGTCACGTTGCCTTCCTGCCAGATCTTGTGTGTTTAGTCGGTTGCATTGTGTATGAAAAAGGGACCGCATTCTGTTCAGCAGGTTCATTGACGAAAAGCAGCGTATTGTGCCATTCGGTGACTGAATGTTCTTCCGACCCCTCTCTTTTTCTTCACCGAAGCAAGTGCGCACACCATTTGGCCTTAACCGAGTTCCGCCACATGCGGCAACCCATCCCTGTGAGGCACGCAGCATTGAGGTGAGCGAGACTGGTGCGTGTGCATTGCGTGGCTGTCATGTGAAAGGCGCCCGTGTGGGGGTTTCATTGCGAGGCCCAGTGACATTGGAGCAGATCCAAGTTTCTGAGCCTTTGGCATAACAAGATCTATCAAGACCTCTTTTTCACCGTCGCGCCTTCTCCTCCTCCTTTCGCGAGATTCCTCAATATGTTCACACAGCATTAGGAGAGTGTGGAAGCTGGACTCATGGTTTTCCCTGCACCTGCAAATCATGGGTCTTGCTGGAAAGGCACAATCCAGACTTACTGGTCGACGTAAGTTCCACTGATGACCCAGTGCCTTACCCTTACATGAGTTGTTCCACATGTTGGAAGGTGCAGCTCAATCTGTCATTCAAGACTTGGGAAAGCAGCTTCCACATTGTACAATGGGGTTCAAGGATAAAGACAGCATCGCAGCCCTGTTCCTTCTTCTTTCCTTTCTTTGCCCACGTGCTGTTTCTTCAGGCTTCCTCATTTGATGTGTCCATGTTTGTGTGCATTCTCTGGGGAAACCACGACTTTTCCACAAACCCAGACACACCAGAATCAGCGAAATTGATCCAGGCATTGTAATGAAAACTGCTGACGGTGTAGTGGAGAAGCCAATGTTTTACGCAAAATCATGGAAGTGTTCGTCTGAGGATTCTGTCATTGGCATCAGCGTGTTTGGCAATTTGGATATTTGTCTGCACAGCTGTCATTTACGTTGCTGCAGCGCTGCTGGATTGGTGTATCACGTAGACATGCCGCTTGGATATCAGAGGAGAATATATAATGGTACTGCCGAAAGTGCTATACAAGTATTTGTGTACCTCTCTCAGGTCAATTAAACAATATGACGATATATAATGTGAGTTAATTAATCATAATATGAATCGCTGGTGCTTAAACAAAGGTTTCATGTGGTTTCATTGTTAATCCATGGAATCATCCAAGCAAAGCTGATCTTTGAGGCCCATGAACTCTGAGTCCACTTTGGTGCCCATGCTGCGCTTGGTTTCATGCACAATGAAGGACAGTATTGACTGAACTTCGGAGATATTTACCAGGTCCTGGCTGTGATGGTTTTGTTGAATATGAATATGACATACACAACAGGTATGTGGTTATGTGTAGAATGGATGGTATATAATTATATATATACACAATAAACATATCAATATAGTGAACAAAACGCACACTGCTATACAGTATATTGATGTATATTGTACATGGTATCAAACATGTAACAACGTAACATATCATGTGCTACAGTATCATTAAATCATTCGCCGTCAACATGTTTCCAATGCTCATGCTCATGTAAATGTCGATCGGAAAGTCGCAGATCGCATGTGCGAGGACTGTGCGAGGGATTTGGAGGCGCTTTGCACACAGATGACTTGTAGGTGATTTCAGCAATGGAGAGTGTGAGATGGACTGGAGTTTGATATTTATTTTTGCCACAAATTCACTCCTGCAGGGCAATGAATTCATGTTGCTTTGTGCCGAGAACCGCCTCGCACCGTTTGCTTCGAGAGAGGGCGCAAGGAAAGGTAATTCATGTCCAAGTCAACACCCCAGATGATGGGTAACCAAAGTTGGACCCCCGGAAAAATGTACAACTTCCAGGGTCGGAAAATAGACTGATTACAATAAATGACCTAGAGATGACAAGTACCATGCAGTGGATGAATGAAAGAAGGCTTGGGGAAAACACACACACTTGCAGGTTGGATAAAAGTTGGACCGCCTCAAAAAGTTAGAATTTCCAGGGGGTCGAAAAATGGAGTGACTACAATGCACTTGACTATATGCATGATGACCTAGAGATGACAAGTACCCTTAATTACTGTGATGTCTCAATACCGCATCATTTGCAACGCCAGTCACGAAAGGCAAGCAAACAACTCCTTTCAACAATTTGACTCAGTGCAAACCTTCATGTCCTGTCCCAGATCATATTGCGCACCACCTCCACATGAAATGTTGCAAAACCTTCCATCACTTCCCTTCCAGACACACCTTATGCATGATATGCACTTCCGCTCCCGAACGAAAATGCCCCCCCTGGAGCTAACGCTCCAGGAACTCAGTGCTCGCACCTCAACATAATTACGCCCCTCAGCACCTTTGGCGTGTGCGAATTTCATATTTTATAGTGCATGCTTTGTGTTTCTTTCAAAAGCACGGTGCCGTTGCGAACTTGGACCGACGGCTGCAGTTTTGGCTTGAATTGAGGCTGGTGTGTGAGAGAGATCGAACGAACTTGTGAGGTGCGACTACATGTGTCGGGGGGCAGAAGCAGTGACCTTTGACTGTCTTCCGATTCCTTCTGGCAAACACGATGTAGCACGCCGCGGAGGGCAATGGTGGAAGTTGGAGGCGCGAAGTTAGGAAAAAAATTGACAAAGCATTCCAAAGTACTTTGGGAAATGATTCCTAAGTCAGCTCGAAGTATTTATTTGAGACCTGTCCAAGCTGAGACTGAGGTCAGTGACGCTGGACACATCTCATGGTTTGAGCCACCGATTGCTGAGCCTCCAAAACCACGAAAGAAACGCGCAAGAAGGGCGCTTCAGGCTTGGAATGAGGAATGTTTATCAACTGCAATGAAATGTTCAGGCAAGACATGATAAGAGTGCATGCTGAGAGAGCCAAGAAGAGTGACTTTGTCACTGTTGTTTGTAACGGGGATGTCATGTTTGATTTATATACATCTAATGGATGCAATGTCCCACATCTTGTGCACAGGTGGAGATGAGCTCTCCCCTGCTGAGCTTGCGGTTTGGCCCAAATGAGGCGAGCACCAAGTGAGACATACTGTGATACAAGGGACTGGTACTCTATTGGCTGATACCGTGGTGAGGATGTACTATGGAACTACATGGAACATCATGGAACCTAACTTAAGTTTCCCACAAAATCTAGTAACCAAATGAATAGTGCGAACGCTTCTTCAAGGAAGCGTGAGCTACTATCCTGCGTCCACTGCGTCCATACTACAAGCTAACTTAAACTACTAGCTACCTAGCTTCTCCTAGCTTAGCTACCTCCTAAAAGGAAAATAACACTGTTCTCAGAATTGTGCATGTGTTTTGCAGGCTTGGGCATGTGAGTTGCTTGGTTTGAACTGCGAAGAGCTGACGCTGCAACAACTTGGGGCAGCATACCGCAGGAAGCTTGGCTCAGCTCTCGAAACCATCCAGTCGAAATGTGTGCATGTGTGTCGAAGCCCGTGCTGTGTTCAAGCTCCATTCGGTGGAGACCTTTCTTGATTTCAGGAAAGCCAGAGAGGTGCATCCGGACAAGCAGCCTCATGCGGCACAGAGCACCTCCAGCTTCCACAAAGTCTCGGCGGCTTACGAGGCATATCGGTATATCTCCTTTTGCATCCCTTTGAAGGTCAAACTTGCTTTGCCTAGGGCCATTGCTATTAATTAGGTTGGAGGCCATCGCTTTTAGAAAAAAGGAAGAAAGGTCTCGGTATGAACTGATGAAGGCCAGTGGCCCCTTCCTCAGACTGTGCTCGCAGGCCTTACTTGCTTGCTTCAGCGCTTCACCAGTGGAGAAACGCCGGCGGAGAGGGGAAGCAGTTGGAAAAGTGTTGTTGCATTTGTGCCCATAATGCCATAATGAAATGAACAATTTTCAACATCTGCGAGTATTTTGACCATTGACTACTGCATGACTTCATGGATGCCAGGTCCAGGATTTGTTTCTCCGAGTAGCTGCAACTTGGCTAAGGGAATCTACCCGTGAGTTGTTTGAGTTGTCACAGAACTGTTTAAGGATTTCTCAAGCTTGATATGATGTTGAGCCTTTGTCAGGCAAAACCTACAGGAAACTTCGAGACAAACAAGAGCTTATCTGCGCCTTGGAAAACATGTTGTGCAGGATTTCTAGGGACATGGTTTCATTATGGTTTTGTGCAGATGAACAAGCTTTTATCAATAATGGAATCCTTTAATCCACGCAGTGATGTGTTGCCACAGGTTTTTGCAAGCTCTCAGCTTGTCAGTGCAGCTCCGCAGAGGGTGTGCCTACCATGTTGTTTTTCTTTCCGGAAGGTCGTAGGAATACATTGACAGCAGCCAAGCTGAAGCCAGAGGAGGTTTCTGAAACATTGACTAATATGGCAGATGCAGAAGAAGGCTTGCAAGTGCAGAGTGTAGGCTGAATTAGTTGGTACGCCCATCATTAGGTTGCAGGCCATTTGATTTTTCACCAAGTCTTGAGTCTTGCTCAAATCATAGAAAGAGCTCTAACTAGAGAACTATTCAAGGGCCCCGGGCCTTGACATGGATTCCAGGCGGCAAGTGGTTGGCAGAGCAGTCCACTCCTGGGGCGAGTGCAAGGCACCCAGACGTATAAAGTGAGAAATATAAAATGTGTTGGATCTCGTCAGATCTCCAAGGATGCCAATGTCTTGGTTGCATTGAAAAGGAAGCTTCAACAAGCTGCAATGCTGTCTCAGGACCGGGATTGATAGTGCACAAATCCTTCAGCGCTTGCAAGAGGACCGAACAATCTCCCTGACGAAACGAGTGGCACGATCACCAGCAAGTGTTCGATGAATCTGCGGCTTTGCATTGGGACACAATCTATAATTTGACAAGCCAAATCAAAGGAATCAAAAGGAACATAAGGAACTATCTATCTCCATGCATGTCTCTTTCAAACTATTTCAAAACAATGCTTGCTGACAAGACTTGCTGATTTGAGGCACTAACTGAGCCTTTTGTATTCAGATTTGTCCAGAGGAGCAGGTGGTTTGTGTATTGCCTGTGGCCGCGGGCCCACTTCGAGGCAGAATTGAACACTGCTACTGACATCAGCGTGTATTGATGCCATGCAAAGCGTACCCACACAAACGTGTCGTTGCAAGAGGCCTTCAGAATCCTTCCCAGTAGCCTCAGCAGTGTCGAAGTTGTTTGAATGAGCTCTACGATTTGACCGACGGAGGTGATGGACGACTGCACTACATACCCTCAGAGGAGCTGGCTGCACAGGTTTGGGGCTCAGTGGATGAAGTGTATGAAAGCCCTTTGTGAAAGACTTCGCAACCATTACGCTCACAAGTCTGGGATGATTTATTGGTTTCTCAAGTCCAGATCCAACAGCTGAGGTGGCAGAACAGTTGAAAGCTGCCAAGCTCATATTCTTCACTAGAGGCCTATGGCTCAAATCAAGAATATTGAAAAAGTATGAAAAAGTAGCTTGACAACTTGACAACCTCTGAGGTCAACGGATCGTGGACACGGCCCATGGCAACGTACCTCGTCATGTTTGTTGTCCAAAATATGGAGCTGTGAAACGGCTTTCCTGCAAGGCCATTCCGACTATGCAGCTTGGAGAGGCCAGTAGACTCCTTGAGCATGCGTTGGAACCTCAGCATTTGTTCAATTAGCAAGATGCGTTTCAAATGGTGTGTTTTGGTGTTTATTGTGATTGATACTCAGATGTGAAAGGAACGTGAGGAAGAGCTTTCTACCAAGGAAAACCAGCAGTACCTTCATGGACAAGGTACGCGCGATAATTTGAATGCTCGGCTTGATGCGTTGTTTGATAATGAGCCGTACCGAGCCCATTGCCTTTTTGCGCTGTCAACTAGCATGAGCAATGTTTGGGTTTTGTCGCGGGAAAATCAAGCGCACTGAAGAACCAAGGACGAGTCCAAAGAAGTTGTGAAGTATTTACAGTGGCCAGCAGCTCGGAGAGCTGCTGGAGACAGCCAGCGGATGCCGGACCTTCGGGTCCTTTTGGATGTGATCACTGACCTTGGTCTAAGGTCTATCAGCTTTGATTGATCACTTGATGTCAATCCATGGTCCGGTGTATCTTATGATCACGTGAGTCTCGAGGTTGATCCAAGCATTGCGCAGTGGGACTCGACGAGGCCATTTGATTGATCCTCAGCGCGGAGCTCTCTTGCAGGCACGGGGGCGATATTTTCTGCACCTGCTACACCAGTGGACTGGGGAGTAGGCTCCAGGTCAGCACCGGCGTCATCAGAAAGGGTTCTTCAAAGATCTTCAAGGAAGCCTTTACGATATATCTTTTACCCAAGGGCCGGAGAAAGTTTCTTCAAAATATACGGTTTCTAGAGTCCTAGAGCTTGCATTGCTTTAAAAATCAACAAAAGCGTTGCAATGAATGACTTCTTTGAGTTGCTAGCAGGAGCTTTATACCACTGATGGGAGTGGGACCATGATCTCCCTGGATTTGTACGATGGCATCAGGCATTGCTAAGCTGCTAGTTCTGCTAGTTGGTGTCGCCCTCCAAGCAAAGCTCCCCACGCACATTGTATGAAACAGATGTAACCAGTCTTTGGCTTGGACAAGAGCTTTCATTGAGCAGAGAGCTTTGGAGGTAGTTTCAGCCATTTCAACCCTTTGTTTCAGGATGGCTGGTTCCGGAGATGTCTCAGGCATTTTGGATCTCATCGAGCCCCTTGTAAAGCCTGGATCCATGTATAATGCAAGACAGCAATACTCTGTCAAGACATCATATATTCTTGGAAGATGTGCTGCAGTAAATGCCAAGATGCACTGAGGCGCGGCTTGCTAAAGCGGCGGGGCACCTACGAGGCACTGTTGGAATGTGGCTTATAAACTTATAACATCTTATAACTTATAACACTATTCCACTGCTTTACTGTCATGTACTTCCCACAAATTGATGCATTCTGCACTGGGATTGAACAGTTAGTGTGGTTTGAAAGAGCATGAGTCCAATCGCGATTCTTGCTGCACGTTTCTTTGTTTCTCCTCCAGGTCGAGCGCGTGAGCACCCCAGGAAGAGCTGTCAACTTGTGCAGAGGTGTGTCGCTAGCATTTAATATTTCCACTTCTGCATGTGTGCGAAGGCTTTCTTAATAAGCAGCCCAGGGTCATGCATCTAGGCAGCTGGCTAATGCTACATGTGCCTTCATTTTTCCCGACACTTCAACCTAAGGCTTGCAACAATCAAGAGATGTTTGTTTGGAAGCGTGATGATGCTTGGATGAAATGTGTGAGTTGACGTGGTCCGGGAGCATTTTGGCAATGTTGGCGAAGCAGGGGCTTGTCCCCTGATTGTGCATTCGTGGGAGGTCGATGCATCAGACACTGTAATTAGACTCTAGAGCAAGCAATCCAGGCAAACTCGCGATGTTTTGTAGTGTGAAGAATATGCAAGAAGCACTTCACAAACCGCCAAAGCCTGGCTCAATCTTGATTTTTTCATGTTTGACAGATATACTGCATTTGTTTGTGCGTCATTGCGTGGTCATGGCTGTCCTTCGGCTGCTTTGGATGATCGCATATGTGGCACTACATGGTGCCTCCGGACACCGTGTGCAGAAAGTGGCTGTCTCAGACCAACGGGTCGCCAAGACGGAGCTGGGAGCTCCTGAGGAAGAGGAGATGCGGAAGGAAGCGGTGAAGTCATTCAAGCCACCTACAGTGTGGATGCCGACCTTGGATTTGAAGAAGCTTTTCATGCATAAGGCAAGCCGAGTTCTTTGGAAATGAAAAGGCGAATACAGAATCGAAGTGTATCCTGAAAAAGGATTGCATATGATGGCGTAGTCGTCGTGCTTGGAGGCTTCTAGTAATTGGTGGTTTCAAACAAAGGCTGCATGCCAGATATATATATATAGTCTTCGCGTCCGGTTAGCGTGCAGTCTCGCAGCTGCAGTCGTGGAAGGTTTGCGGAAGCGACGCGGAAGACAAGGAAACCCCAATATGCGATTTCAGGCGTGGCACAGAAAATGTTAAAAGCCACGTCTGCGAGATCAAACCCCTGTGCGTGGGAACTTTGTGGAAGCAGCGTGGAAGGCCACATGACTCCACACCTCAACCACCACCAGCAGAAGCACAATGCGCTGAAACATGAGGGCCAAACCCGAGCGAAGGCTACAGCAGTTTGGGCGTATATAGATTATACAGCGATTTGGATGTATGAACTGCATGGTTTCGCAGCCAAACCTGGAACCACACTTCTCAAAAGGAACCTGTTTGTAGTCTTCCACGGTCGCTATGTAATCTTCAGGCTGTCTCACTGTCATACTGTAGGCAAACTGGTATGTAGGTTCTTCAGTAGGCCTTCCAGGAAGGAAGGATGCTACCACCTTCGCCAGGTGAACCTCCACCGGAACTCTAACACCACCATCTTCGAACAAACTCGAAACGCCTTTGAATATGAAGATCCAAGAGCATGGGGTGCGAACTGGACCGGCTTGTTCTTCACTGTGAACTTCACCAACGAGAAGGGAGTGGATAGTTTCGGGTTGCGCAAAGAGTGGCTCTCGCTTGTCCTGCAGTCCATCGTGCTGCCAGCTGGTCACTCAGATAAGACAGGCTTGCAGTGTGTCAGCAGTGGCAAGTGCGGAGATGAGGGCACGCCACAATACTTGCTGAAAGCCTTGCCATCGGGAGAGCTGGTGCCCATTAGTGTGGAAGAGGTCGAAACATCAGAACAGACTGGGAGAATTGGATCCATGTTGAAATTTGCATATGATGCTTACGATTTGGCATATGAACGGGTTCTCGGTGAAAAAGAGAAGCTGCCTTATGCTGCCCGCATGCGTTTCCAATTTTTGGGGAAGTGGCTGGCTCGGGCTCACATCGTCACGGACCTGGGTTTCGCACCAATGGGTCTCCACAGAGTCATTTACCAGAGCTTGGTGGCCGGCTATGTGGTCACGCCCCAAACCCCTTCTTTCTACAGCGAGGAGGACACCATCCCTGCCTGTGAGAAGCTGGCGGCCATATGGAGGCGACGTAGCCCGCAAGAGCTGCAAAGCTACGGATGGCTGAGCTGCGATGAAGTGAAAGACCACACAGGCAAGTACACCCAGGCCAGTTTCAAAGCACACAGTTTTGGATGTGTTTGGTGTTCTTCTTTAAGCCAAACACCCCTACTGTCAGATCTGAATGGATTTAACTATTACACCTCTTTCAGAACCATTGCAATCGATACTCCCTACTAAATTGACAATACAGGACTTCTTCAACAACATCTCACACTCTTGTGCTTTGACGTGCTCGCTTCCAATCCCTTCCCGAGAAGCATACCTGCTGAATCAATCCTTATTTGCTAGCACAGCTGAATTTGAACGGTTTGGTGCGACGCAAAGCTGAAACGACGACAAGTTCACTCCCCACCCCTACCAGTATAACCGAAGTTGCGCAACACTCACCTAATCTTGGGTATGATCTGTTACCAGCGATTGACAATTTCATCAGAACGCTATGGTTATACAGTACAGGAAATGCTGGTACTGACACAACTCACGCCCTTCAAAGGCCAGCTGCTACAAGCCAATCTTCCGGGATGAAATGATGTGGAATGCTCTCTACCTGGCATGGGGCTCTCTTGCACCAGATGGTGCCAAAGCAGACGACACCGTTCCCTTCAGCGCAGCGCGAGACTTCACAGAACGCCGATGTGAACAGTCTTGGAAGGCTTTTGAAGAGCCGGTGAAGTACATCGTGCAGGGCTTTCGGGAAGTGATTCCCAGCACCTCTGGACTCTGGAAGCTTCTGGATGGGAAGTGGCAAAAACTGTCTCATCTCATAGAAGGCAGCTCAGAGGTTAATGTCGATGAAATGCTGAAGGCAGTTTCGTGGACCTGCAGCAGCGAGGAGGAGGCTGTGATCATTGAAGTCTTGCACGACTTGCAGAAGCAGGGTCAGGACTTGCCTCCTGTGAAGCGGCAATTGAACAAGCTTCTACGATTCTTCACGGGCTCATTTAAGCCACCTGTTGAGGGCTGGAAGAAAGACACAGTGGAATTCACATGTGTTAACCCTGGCTACACAGGTGGAAAGTGCGTGCCGCTGGTAGGCAAAACCTGCTTCAATGAATTACGCATTCCCAGAGCTTGTTGCAAGGATCCTGCCACATTGAAGGCAATGATTGCAGAGTCTGTGGTTTCAGAGGGTTTTGGCTATGACTAGCTCTCTTCCCTCGCAGAGAGAGACATCCTTGCAAGGAAAATGAACGCGTGCGGCTTGGACAGTCTCGCCATGACTAAGATTCACTTTTACTTTAACCCGAAGACCATCCATAGTTTCAACATTCATGACGGATAGACTCGGATAGATTGCAATTTTGGCTCGACACAGCCTCTTTGAAAGCAAAAGCGCCAGGAACATGGCAAGCGTCGTTTTTAATGGATATTAATGGATGCAGGAGGGCCGTCCCTTTGTTCTCAAAGAATTGGAGTGTCAAGCACTTCTCTGAGGACAAATTTGTCGGTTGTGCCAGCCTCGAGCGATTTGAAGATGCACCGGGGAAGGCAGAGTTTGGACCTTAGATTCCATGGCCCACACGGAGGCTTGTTCCACTTGACAACCGGAGGAAAACGGTTTGATGTTTTGAGAAAAGCAAGCATGCATTAGCAACGGCGTCGAAGAGATGGTGGTTCACGCTGTTGCCAAACGGATGACAACATGGCAGTTGTAAGTCAATGTCTTTGTAGGCTCGGATGCTTTGTTGTTTCTCCCCTATGCCGTGGCAAAGGTGTTAAACCCAGATGTGTTTCGATTCTTGAGTGTGAGACATCTTATTTGCATCAATCTCCTGTGTCCTGGTATTGCAAAGGACACGGTGCTGTGCTTCTTTCTTACATCGAGCGGGTTGCGACCCTTTTAGGTGTGTGTGATTCCAAGGAAACACAACAACATCGAGTGGCCAAAAGAGTCTTGTGGTTTGGCACATTGGCTGAGGAGGCAGCTATTTCTCCTGACCACACAGACGATGCAAGCTCAACTCAGATGAAAACAACATTTTCATGTACCACCAGTGAGTCTGGCATGAAGGATGATTTCTCTTGCTTGGATCCAAGGCAATGGTTTGTTGAAAGAGGATTTCAGAATGCTTCTCTAGATGACCTTCCGCCTAGCCCCTTGGTATGAATCCGCTTGAATTGGACCAGTGGCTGCTTCAAATTGCAAAAAAAAACGCACAGATGTTCAGGATGCTTTTGGAGGAGATTCAGATAATAATGCACACCGTCCCTTTGAAGTACCGAAGTACTGTATTTGCTTAGTTCTGTTGTTTGGCTCCGAGATCCCAGGCAAGCGTGAAGGCTATGACCTGGGGAGGTCTTCAAAGGCCTTGATGAAACCAACACTGCTGTTCCTTTTCCATTATTTTCCATTGTCGCAGTTGATCACGACATCTTGGGCGTATGATTGGATAAAGGAGTCAGATGGATTAAGTTTCATCAATTCAAGTAGCTATGCATGTATTTGCTGCGCCAATGCAAACAACGCAAATCTCACTTTGTTGCTTGTGGCATCTTGTGGCAACTTGAGACCAGTTGCTGGCACTGGCTGGTGCCAGTTGAATTGATCATTTGAGCAGGTCTTCATAAAGAACGTGTCTGACCTACCGAGTGAGCTCCAGCAACGTTTTACATTTGTTGAAGTTGACGCATTGGATTGAGAAAGAGGAAAGACAAAGAACGGATGTGCTTCGGGAAGTGCAACTCCGCACGAATGTCGCTGGGTCAAGTGCCAGTTCAGAGCAGTTTTAAACATCGAGTACTGTAGAAAGTATATGCATCAGCATTTGGCTCGAACCGTGGACGAGTAGAAGAGACTTGGCAAAGATGCCCAACGAAATGTTTTGGGTGGCGTTGCTTTTGCAGATCTCCATCGTCTTCGCATCACCATGCGTTGATGATCACAAGTTTTGCAGCACCTGGGCTGAAATGGGAGAATGCAAAACTACCAGGCAATACATGGAGCGACACTGTGCCAGATCATGCGGATGTACCAAAGCGGTGCCAAATCTTCCTGATGAAAGCACAACTTTGACAACGACTGGGTCCACAAGTTCAACGGCAGCTGTGGCCACTCCGTCTTCAAGTGAGTCGAAAAAAAAGCCCGGTAATTAATATGTATTAAGTAAGGAAGGTTCCCAGAGGTTCAGAAATCGCTTGGCCACCGCTTGGTATTCTGGTGTTTAAAGTGGGTATGTTACCTCGTCGCGCTAGCAAAACGCAGGGTTGCGCTAGGTTCGCGCTAGGTTTGGCGCTAGGATCAAGTACTTAGGTAACTTAGACAAGATCAACAAACAACACATACATGTATTGGTCACATACATGTATAGACACACACACACACACCCGCACAGACCCAAGAGCAGCAACTGTTTGAAAGGCAGCAAAGCGCCGACAAAGGCAGCTACTGTTTGAAAGGCAGCGCCTGTTTGAGATAAGACAAAGCGAGTTCTTGATCACAGACGTTTGGTGGCCTCATGCACTGGCAGGAAAGCGCGCTAGACCCGCGCTAGATCCGCGCTAGACCCCTTTGCAACTTTGACCACTTGTCCAAGTGCTGAGCAGGGCCTACTACTCCCACTATTGCAAATATACACACAGACGCACGAGTGAAGAAAATTGAAAAAACAAGAAGGGCAGCTGCTGGGGTGCAGCTGTTGGGGTGCAGCTGCTGGGGTGGGGGCGGGGTCTTTGTATACACAAAAAAGATAGGAAAGCCATTAACCATATCTTGACAACTTGTTTCTGGGTGCAAAAATCAAGAAGACGGCTACTTTCAGCTTCACACTTGAAGCAGTTGGACTCTGTAAATAAGAATTCAGCAGTTAAAAGGACAACCATATACATGAGCGCATGTTGTGTACATGATTGCCGCCGCTTGGAATTGCTGTGATCTCAACCTAGGATAATGATTTTGAGAATGGTTTTTTCAACTCAAGTGAGGATAGCTCTACCGCGACCACTGGAGAAACATCACAGGCGACAACCACCTCTGCAGACGTGGCAACAGAGGTTTCGACGCCAAAACCCTCAACAAGTTCTGCCATTGAGCAGACGTCCAAAGCACCGCCTTCTACCACTGAACCAGCAAGGACGACAACGAGGCTGGCCGAGATATGAAGTCGAACAGGCAAAGAGAGTGAAGGTTGGTGTTGTGTTGAGCTGAGTTTGACATACATACCGGTTACATACCTCTATCCTCAACAACAAGAAAGGATACATTCCACGATGTTCACAAGATGCACGACATTTTGTCATGTTCACGGCGAGGACTCCATCACCTGCTTGGGCACCAGCGCCTCCTGCCTCCAGTGAATACATTCGGAAGGTGCCGATAGAGCTGTGCTGATAGAACAGTTGAATTCCCCACATAGACAGTGACACACGTCAATGAACAGATGTGTGTGTGTGTGTGTCACAGAAGTTGGCCAGCTGGTTTTTGAGCTCTCAATCTAGTTTTGAATGGTTTTGACAGGGGTTGCACGAGCATTTATTTGCACGAGCTTCAGTGACTGAGGTCTTGAAGTTTGAATACTGTTGCTTCAAGATATCAAAGTCTGAAGCTGACTGAGCTTTGGTGTTTTGCCTTCTGTCCAGGCCAACAAAGACCTTGCCGGCGATATGCTGGCTGCAGTGCCAGCGCCGAAGATTGACGCATGCATCGGTGACCCGTCTGGTGACGACGGCAGACGGCAGACGGATATAGATCGAAATTGTGCAAAAAGAAAGACTGAACAGCCCGCGAGTCAGACCAGGTCTTGAGGCATTCTTTATTTTACAGTTTCAACTTTTTCCCGCCCATGTTCAAGTCTTTGAACTCCCAGGCAGAAATAGGCCATCCCAATTGATCAGATGGTCCACGGATATTCAAGCTGCATTTTATACATTCACAGACAGCCGAAATATCAAATATTGGTTAATACAATGTGTAAATCATGTGTGTATGTATGTATATTATATAGTATATATCTACCAGTAAATGCCATCATTGGTATCGGAATAAGAGAAAGCCATAGCCACCTGAGGCATGTGTGATGCGACAGCTGGATGTGAGGGCTTCTCATTCTACAAGGGCGTGTGCTACATGAAGGCGGATCTGAAGGGGACCTTTTCTAAACCATGGTGTACAACAATGGTTCGGAAGAAGCCAGATGACCCAAAGCAGTGCTCCGGTTTTGCAAGTGAGAAGGACAAGGACTTGGCAGGAATCCTGGTGAAGCCACCGGTGTATGCTGCAGAAGCAAATGAATGCTGCAGTGCCTGCACCGCAATCCCTGAATGCCAAGGCTTCTCCTACTTTGAGGATTTTTGCTACTTGAAAGGCAATTTGCACGGTACATATTCAAAGCCAGGCTGCACAGTCCACATGAAGAGTTCTGCTCGCCGATTGGAGAGCGAGTTCGCTCCGGGGATATTGGTGTGAATGGGGACACATGTCTCACTTGGACATGCGGACAGGGATTCAAGAATGTTTGCTCATCGCAGCGATGGGAGCATTGGTGAATCGCTACAATCAGACTCTCCAGCTCAGTGATAAAACTTTTGACTGGGCATAATTTGATGCACAGGGCAGGCTGAAGCAAGGCTACAATATGCCACTACACTTTTGTGGGCTTCGAACGCGCTCCAAACTGTGCTCTGCCACCACGGTGGAGGAGAGGAATTCAAATGCGTCCGCAAGGACATCTAATCCGTGACTCTTTGTGATTGAGGAGCTGCCGTTGTGCCCTATATTTGGGTCCACTTGTACAGTGTGGATGTGTTTGAACATCTAATATGACAGGGCTTTTTATATTTGGCAGGCCTTGCAAAATAGCAAATGCCGAAGCCAATTTGACTAGATAATCGACTGACACGCGCTTGCCTTAACCAAACAAAATTGGTAATTCATAGATCGATTTTGTTTATTTGATATTTCTTCAGAAAGCCTGGCACATTTGAGCCGTTTAGTTTGCACGATCCGGCGCCGTCGAAAATAATTTTGTGCAATTATTTTTGAACAAATTGGATGTTCAAACATGTTTAAACATATTGGATAGTTGTTATTTGTTGCCTTTAAATTTGCATTGGTACCATTATTATGATTTATTATATACTACTGTGCAATTGGTAGATGGTCTTTTAATTCTTGTAATTCCGGCCTTAGCCTCGTTTTTTTATGCTTTTTTGAATTTATGATTGTTGGAAATATAAAATTCTATTTATCTGGATTTTTGCATTTCGTTTTGTATTAATTAGAATTTATAAAAATGTATTTGTATAATATTTATTTTTTTATTATATAGGTAATGCGGGGATAAATTATTTGCGTAATTATGTTTAGGAATTCCATTCCCGTCATTATCTTTGGCAATAATCCCGAATATATATTTAAAAAGCCTTTTTAATTAGAAAAATATAATAATCGAAATTTTGAATATAATTTATGTATTTTTTCTGGATTAAATTATTAATATAATCGGTGTTTGATGAAATATTTTTGTTTAGATTTTAAAAATAATCGTAATTATTAATATTTGTTTGTTTTGTATATTTAAATAATTTATATATTATTTGATTTATTTTTTGAAAATTTTAATTTCGGATTTTGTATTTTAAAAATACGATTGAATTTTATTAAATATTCGTAGATTCGTATTTTATAATGAATAGAAGGAATTAATTTGAAGGATTAATTTTTTTATTATGAAAGATTAATATTATTAAAATGATATTATGTTGTGTTAAGGATTATGGATTATCGATTAATAATTTTATATAAAATGTTATATCGATATAGTAATTTCTTTTTGATTTATTTTGAATTTGTTCGTAGCGAACGACCTTAGATTTATATTTTTTATTTTATTTTTACGTGCTTATGAGCATTTCTTGGACGTATGCGTTAATATTTTCTACTATAATATTCGGACTCGTGCATAAGGGAATATACCTTAATATTTCTATTTTTAATGCTTATACGCGTGAGTGCGTCGCAAATCCAATATTTGTGTTTGATGGTGTGATAGAATATATTTATATGGCATTATTGCATTGATAAAATATTAACATATTTGATGTTTTGAAAGATTTTGCATTTGTTTGGCAATATTGCATTGATTTATTTTCGATTTTTATTTTTTGATATATATATATATATTATTTATGTTCTGAATGATCTTCTATTCGAATTATCGTATGTAATTTCAATAAAAGATCTTGGCATTATTGGCAAATGCGAAACAATTTCGTGCAAACTAGCATTAATAGACTATATGGTATTTTTTGCAAGCATTATGAATTGGAAATTGGAAACAGCTTTTTGCATAGAAACATTATGAAAAGAAATAAATTTCTTTGCAAATATGAATTGGATTTTCTCAAAATTGATGGTAACCTAATTAATTCGATTTTTAATTCTTTACTATAGCAGTCTTGTTGTTGCAGCCATTTTGCCATTTGCGTGTGGCCCGGCAGAGGCGCAACTGCTTCCGGACGTCACAATCTTGAAGTCATAAATAACCGAAATAATGCTAGGCACGATGTATATTCGCGATATCAATTTTGCTTTCCAAAATTCCCAAAGTAATGCAAACATTTTCGGTTCTCATGGTCTGGAAAAACGAAGTTTTTTCTACCGATTGTTTGCATTGTTCGTTATTTTCCTTCCTGGTTTTTATCGTGGGTTTGTCTACGAGTTTTGCGGCCAGGTTAGAAGGCGAAGCAAAAGGTCAAGGAGATTGCTACCTTGCCCTTGCAGGAGGGCCCAGCTGAAAACATACGATCCAATAACTTATCAAATATATGCTAAAATATTACATATAATCTGTATGGTATTTCTACACTATATTCAGGAATGTGCTATCGGCATGGCGCCTCAGACCTCTCGAACAAGGGACCGAGCTTAGTGTAATTCAAGCGACCGAGCTTAGCGCAATTTTGGATGGATTTGGGCTGGATTCTGAATGGATTTGTGTTGGTTTGGAATAATGTCTGGGCGTCCTGTCACCCCTGCTGCCGTGCTCGCCCTTGGCTGGCTGCAGGCAATTTGGCGGGTCGCACTCGCATCGCGCGCGGTATATTGCCATTGCACTACTGATTTTGACCTCCAGAATTTTGATTCACGATCATCATTGGGAGACCGTCGAATTGTGCGGTTCTATGCTGACACTGGCTTGTGCATATGCGGCGCTTACGGGTGGCCGTGGCACCTGTCGCTTGCTGCGCGAGCGCTTACATGACACATCGGGGTGGAAAACACCGGCTTGGTGCCGTCGCATATCTGGCCACGATCGACTCGGACATGGTGTGGGGACAGACGGCAAGTGTTCCTCGGAATCCGCACGCAGAGCATCTCAGCCAGCAGATGAGATGCCAGACATTGCACACGAGCCTGATGGTGACGACGGTGACTTCGGTCCTTCAGAGCAGAGATTTCAACGGTAGGATATCAGCCGACGCGCGGGCCGTATTGCAGAGCATCGGTGAATCGGTCCTCAACCTCGCTGAATAATCCGTGGCTTGGAAAGCGGCCAATCACAACGGCTGGCGTCCCTTCAACGCTTTGGGCTTTTCAGGAACTCGGGCTGCGTGGCAACGGATCAGCCGGGAAAATTTGACAAAATGGTCAAAAGCAACTGCAGCAAAGCCCATGTATTTGTTTCCGGATCAGGGCCTCAATATGAAGGTATTGCTGGACAGGATCGGCGAAATTTGGGTGGATGGCGGCTTTGGCACTCGAGATCAATTCTTGAAAATCTATATATAGCCCAGTGCCTCGACTACCTGCAGTGGGTGGCTATCCGCGCTTTCTGCCAATTCTGGCGCAACGCTCTGCGATCTGTGGCATTGACCTGTGTCCTGCTCGCCATCCGTCACAAAGGCTGCTGCAGGTGACAAGGAATTTGCAGAAAATAATCGATGAGATCTGCAACAGAACCGGGCGGCAGCGAGTGCTGCTATCGTTGCTGGTCACAGAGAATGTGCTCTATTATTGCATGAAAATCGTTGATGCGATGAATGGAAGCCAGACCCATGCTCCCTACTGACGGCCAAGAAGGAAAAAAAGGTCCGTGGTTTGTCGGTTTCTCAATTTGTTCCTTTGTTGATCTATCGGTTTCGATTTTTGAGGATCGTATTTTTTCGCTGTTGGAAACAGCGGGCCGACCCTAGTTCAAAAATATTATCGTTGAAGAAAATAATTGGCGTAATGGTAGTTGTTGGAAATGATTATTTATTGATATGAATATAATATTGGAATTATTTTAACTTTTGAAGGTCTTAATTAGGGTTATATTTCTACGTAGGATATATTATTTTGTTAATTGTTAATTTGGGTTTATAACCCGTTATAGTTTATAAATCTTCTGAAATATTGATTTATTTCTTTGTATGATTATCTTTGTTTTGAATGTTTTGATATTTGTAAAGGTTAGGTTTGATTTAGGATATTTTCTGTTATAATATATATGTAAAGAGTAGAACACACCTTCTTTTCTGTTCGCTCTGCAGCAAGATTGTCACAGAATTAAGAAAGTTGGGAACAAAAAAGTGAATCCCCCAATGAAAAATCGAGTGGAGTATCCCCCCCCTTCCTGGTCCACTACCGCGGAAGGGGGCGTTCCCAGATACTCGTCCCCCCCTGACCAGGCGGGCCAGACCCCTGACCCTGGTCAGGCCCCAAGGGACAACCAGCACTTTTTCAGACCTCTTTGCTGGTTTTTTGGAGGGGTGTCTTCTTCCCCACACTCGATTTAAGGGGGGGGAGAGGAGGGTAAGCCAAAACACTAAGGAACAGACATATACGGTGGCCTACTCTTTAACCCCGGGGGCGGGGGATCAAAGAGTAGAACACACCTTCTTTTCTGTTCGCTCTGCAGCAAGATTGTCACAGAATTAAGAAAGTTGGGAACAAAAAAGTGAATCCCCCAATGAAAAATCGAGTGGAGTATCCCCCCCCCTTCCTGGTCCACTACCGCGGAAGGGGGCGCTCCCAGATACTCGTCCCCCCCTGACCAGGCGGGCCAGACCCCTGACCCTGGTCAGGCCCCAAGGGACAACCAGCACTTTTTCAGACCTCTTTGCTGGTTTTTTGGAGGGGTGTCTTCTTCCACTTCCCCCCAGGCCTCTTTTGAGAGAGGCCGGCCTGTTGCTTTGCAACGGCTCAAGTGTTTGAAATTTTCGAGGATCCGAATTCGCAAAAAACGTTCGAAAGGGTGCCAAAAACCGTTCAAGTGAGTCCAACTTCATTTCAGCCAGGATGGCTCTGGATTCGTTTAGGTATAAACGAGCAGTCTTCTGTGCTTGCCACCTACCAAGGACCATTACCCGGTCCAAATTGCCATGTTGGCAAAACCACCACGTTGCCCCCCCTCTTCTCAGCGAGTAGGGGCGAAGTTCCAGGGGTTCTAGGTGGAGGCATTCGATGCAGGATTTAAACAATTT